TCTTTCTGCCGGGCTTAGGGGTCCGCGAGGGACCCTCAGGCCTTTGGCCCTCACCTCTCTCTTTCTCTCTCTCTCTCTCTCTCTCTCTCTCTCTCTCTCTCTCTCTCTTCTTCCACAGGGCTTGGGGACTGTCGAGGTCCCCCGGCCTCTTGGCCTCCCATATGTTATAGGAATTGAAGGGAGGTGAAAAAAAGTTTGAGTCGAACACCAGGCTCTTTATTAGGGTTCTTAACATGAACCCTAATATGTTGGGGCTATGGGCCCAGGGTTTCTTGATCAGGTTCCTACATTAGAGAGGTGCAGAAGGGATTCGTTGCTCTCTCTCACTGTCGCTCTCTCTCTTCTTCAACTCAGCCCAAGCAGGAGCTGGCGGGCCCTCCCTCGCGCACGCGTGCGCACTAGTCTCAAGTCTTGGTGTCAGTCACCTGTCAGCCGCGACACAAAACACAGCGTTGGCCCCGCTTGAATGAATAGCTGAGGCTGCGAAATCTGTCTGCAAGATATGCCAAAGCAAAGATATGATCGCCCCGGGTGGGCGGGCTGGGTGAAATGTCGAGTTCTGAGCCACTGGCTGAAAAAGACCGAAGGTTCAAGTGACCGAAATAACTCATGCGAAAATCCTTTCAGCATTGCAAACTCGCTATGGGCGTGTAGAAGGCATGCGAGAACTAGAACTAACTGCAAGGACTTCACAAGCAGCGCCCAATCATCCTGAGTTTCTGCTATGCCGATTTGAGATGGCCGTAGCAAGTTGTGTGTGGGTGTGTACGCATACTCGACCGCATGAGCGGGCTATGTAGTGACACGACAGCAGCAGGACAGAGCAGCGGCACCACGAACAAGTCTCCATGTAGCATGAGAAAACGAATAAGAAGATGAGCCAACACAGTATGCAATGCTCCATGGAAGAGGACAACTCGAGCCAGCCGGATGTCTCACACAACAACTACCGCGCGGAACCACGAAGTTGTTGCCAGAGGAAAGCATCCCTCCATATAAATGTTTATATATATATATATGTGTGCATATGCATGTATATATATATATATATATTTATTCATTTATTTATTTATTTATGTATATTTATATTTATATTTATATTTATGTGTATATATATATATATATATGTGTGTGTGTGTGGATGTGTGTTGCTATTTTACATATAAGTATAAATATAAATATATATATATA